GTGATGGAGTCAATTGATATCCAGGCTAATGTTTCATTTATCAGTAGGTAAAAGATTAAAATTACAACAAAATTTTAGAAATGCCACAAGACCCATTTATATTCTATCACAAAGATTTTTAAAATAAAACCTATCCCTTTTTTTTAAAAAAGTAACTTCATTAAATCATTAGTTTAGTTACAGACATTCAATATTCCAACACCGATCCTACCACCATTGCACATTCTCACCTTCATTATTTCCAATTTTTGCAAGCACTCCTTGAGCTGTCCCCATGGCAGGCCCTCAATACTTATTTTACTTTGCTTGTTATAATTTGCTAAAAGGATGACCCAAAGGTGTTTCCTTAGAAGAAAGTATCTCACCATGGAGCTCTTGGGCGCTTGTGTAAAAGATTACTAAGGTGTTGTTACACATTAAGTCTTCTGTGTTTATATTTTGTTAATTAAGATTGGTTGCCTTCTATATTCCATCCCATCTAATCTGCTATGCTGTCCTGGTTTATCAGTGTTACAGAGTCTAGATGTCACATGGCGATATTTCTGGATGAGACTTGTCGGAGCAGCTGAGTCTAGCTGGGAACCCAGTGGCAATTGTGGGATGTGGAGGTTTTCAGCTGCTGGTGCTCTGTTTGGGTGGGTGTGGGGGGGACTCATTCCTCCCTTCCTGGTTGCCCTGGGTAGACTCAGACTTCTGAGGGATCTGGGGGAAATTCTGCCACCTATAGATCCCTTTAACGATTTATTTCTGAGTCTCTGGACCATGGCTGGTGAAAGAACTTATATGGCACTTGCAAATCTGTGCCATTTTTCAGAAATCCATACATGCATTCTGATGATCGCAAGTGTACATAGTGTTAGTTTTAATTAAATGCACAAAAACTTTGTTACAGTGGTTTTAAGTTAAAACATTGAATTTTATATAATATTTAAAATCACATAACAAGTAATCTGTGCTTGGGCCAGAGAGAAGATAGTACAGCAGGTAAGGTGCTTTACTTACCTGTGGTAGACCTGGATTCGAACTCCTACACCACATATGGTTCCCTCAGCACTCAGGAGTGATCCCTGAGCAAAGAGCCAGGAATAAGCTCACTCTTACCTGAACACTTCTGGGTTCACACCAAAAGCAATAACAAAAAAAATATTCTATACTTAAATACATTAAAAGGTAAAAGCCCTCCCATTGATCGTCGATTTGCTCGAGCGGGCCCAGTAACGTCTCCATTGGAGACTTTGTTGTTACTGTGTTTAAATACATTAAAATAAGTTTTACATAGATTATGCATTTTCAGAATATACTATATGTTATTTTTATACATTTCTGTATTGTGATACAGTTGGCACTGTGGGAATAACACCTCTACAAGGGAATGTAACTAGATTATTTTTTCAGGTGGGAGTAATTAAGTCTTCTTAATAAGCTGATGCTATAATGATATTGTTATCTATATTCATTATTCTGTATATAGTATTATAAAATTTATTAATGTGTAGTTGTCAAATATGTGTCTTCTAGCACTCCCCAAGCAAAAGTCAAGTTAATACTTGGCCCATTAGAATTCCTCCATAATCCAAATCTAGTACTTTATCTGTGGCTTTTGTTCACCTCTTTGCCAAATCACTCAAATACTTGATGTTACTGACTGGAAGAGTTTAAATTTCCTTCCAACTGTCTGGGAGACATCACATTTCAGATTGTCATTTCTCAGACAAAGATGCTAAAGGACCAAGGCTTTCAGAGTCCATAACATTCTCAGAGCAGGTTACTGGTAACTGCATTTGTCCATTCTACTGCTGAAGGAATTTCAAAAGTTTCAAAATCTGAGAATTCATTCTATTTTCATTACACCTATATTGGGCAATTTTATGCAGTTTGCTTTTTATCTTTTCTTTTTCCTTTGATTTATGATTTATATTTATACCCACCATATAGTGGTGGATGGCCTTATCTTCACCCTTCATTTGATGGAACTGAGAGCTGCCATATTGTATTTGAAGCTTTTGTTTGGCTAAAGGAGTAAGTTCTTTGCCAAACTCTTGATAATAATGATCTGCTTCTTCATTTTCACCTGCTATTGCGTAGAGGCCAGCAAGATAGATATTAACCCACGAAAGATTTTTACTTCTTCCATGAGCTTTTTTAAAATGACTTATAGCTTGTCTTAATAGGTACTTGAACTTCTCACTTCCCCAATACATCTTACTATTTGAAGGACTAACTCCCATAACTATTTGAAGGACTTTTGATCTACAGCAGAGCCCAATATTTTAATGCAGTTGGGTATTGCTTGGTTTATCTCCTAAAGCCCTTTCAGGAAGATCTATAGCTTTATCCAGGTCCTTCATGTTTCGGTAAAATTTGGCTGCCTGGTCAAGTACATCTGGGGCACATAGGTTACTCTCTAAGGTTTCTTCAATGAGCCTCTTTCCTTCACCTTATTTTAAGGTCCATTAGTACAACCACCCCTCTGCTTAGAGACTTTTGCTGAGAGTCAGACTCCCAGAAAGAACTTTCCATGAAAGACCTCACCTATCAGCTCACTGCTTAGAGGAGCCAACTTAGCCACAGAACGGGGGACTGGCTTCCTCCTAATCACAGCTGGTCTTTGAGTGACCATGGTACGATGTTTATTTTTCAACCTCCTTTTCAGTGGCCTTCTACCTGCCGAGGGTGTTCATGCTCCACATCTTGTCATCAGTCACTGAGGGCTTGAAATTTGATTTGATCTCAGCTGTCCATTTTCATCCTCCTGCTCAGAACCATGCAGTTGTAGATAGAGATTAAAATAAAACAAAACAAATCATGCAGTCCACATGCATGGGAGTCATTCCTGTATGATGAGACCAGTACAAGACAGAAAACACAGTCTGAACATCTGGTGCCTGTTTCCCCAGCAGTGGCTCCTCCTTCATCCACACCTTCCTGTGTGTCTCCACACCTCTGTGTTAGCAGAAACTGGACCAGATGTTCACCAGATAAGTCCTTTCAAGACAGAGTGCAGCTCAGGACATACTCCCAACTTTGAGGTAAGAGTTCACTCTTGGTGATGCTCAGTGGACCATGCAGAGGACCTGACTCCCAGATTGTACCTGGGATTCTTGAAGCATGCAAAGTATGCACTTAGCACTTGAGCCTCCAAGTATCATTGTCACGTCAATATACTTCAATAATTTAGACAGTCTTGGGACTAGAGACATAGTAATGAGTAAAATATTTGCCTGACATGGCAGCTGACCCAGGTTCTATCTCCAGCACTGCATGTGGTCCTTCCAGGAGTGACTCCTGAGAACAGACAGCCCAGTATAATCCAAAAGCCAATATATAAATGAAGATAGCTTTAAATATCAACTAATCCGACTTCTTTAAATATGAAATGATAAACCACTCACTTCAATACATACTAGACTGCTATTATGAGGAATTAGTACACCAAAAATTTTGAATGCAGCAGAATACATTAAGTCTTGTAAGTTAGAGCTTAATAAATGGAAGTCATACTTATTCTGAAATTTTCATACTAAACAAGTGAAAATTAAAATCAAAGTCCTGAGAAGTCAATGACAGGCAGGACTAGGACTCTAAATATGAAATTGTCAAAATTTTTAGATCTAAAGAGAGATTCTTAAAAAGATAAGTTTAATAGGCAAGAGGTAGGAAAAATAAAATATTTTCTTGGCAATATATTTCTGTGCTGCAATTGAAACTCAAGGATTGGCAAATTGGATATATTAAGGAATTCAAGAAATCATAAATGATATACCAAGCCATTTGTTGTCATGGACAGTTACTCAAAAAATTGAAAAAAGTTGTTAGAAAAATAGAATGATTCCATGCAATTCTACACATATGTTCATTTTCCAATTTTCTAAAAATTTTTATTACTTAAATAAAGATTCCATAAATATGCTTTGATTTTAGATACTATTTTCTTCAACCAGAAATACATAACTTTGATGAGAACTAACACTTTCCTTCTCTACTCCCTGTAACCTGGGAAGGATGCAGACCTTGTTCCCATTTTCTGCTGTAGAATCAAGGATACTGACTCAGGTAGTAACCAAAATTCCACACTTGGTATAATATGACTTCCATCTTATAGCACCATAGAACATTTAATGTCACAGAATTTGTTTAGATCTATTTGCAATTCTAAAAATCTTTATGTTTGAATGAGTCGGGGTCAGAACCTTGGTGCATAGGACACTCTTGTCATTTCTCAGTGGTCACCAGGTGGCAGTGTGTGTGTGTGTGTGTGTGTGTGTGTGTGTGTGTGTACTTATGTATTAAATTTCTAAAAAAAAAAAGAATATTTATTTGCTTCTATTGTTCAATTTATTTCAAATATATGCAATTATATATGGAACAAACCAAGGTAATTACTCACTGGAACTAGTTTCTTACTACACATGCAGATAAAATTATAAACAGATGAGTGAAGGTAGACTTAAGTAATAGCATGTAAAAATTAACCCAACTGTATTAAAGATCTAAAATTCGTACTACAAATGATAAGATTAATAAAAAATAAATAGCATACCTTCATGGCCTTGGATTTGGTATCAATTTCTTTAAATTAACATCAAAATAAACAAAAGAAAAATCAATACCTTGGACATAATCAAAATGGAAAAAATTGTGCATTGAAGAATACTCTAAGTAGGTTGTAGAGACAAGCCACATGTTAGAAAATATTTACAAGTTATATCTATTACAAGGGTCTTTCCTCGGAATGTACAGTGATACAATGCAGCAAATGAAGGAATGAATAAGCCAAGAAAAAAAGAAAAAAACCCTGGACAGGCATTTTTCAACAAAAGATAGTCAAATGAACCACAAAGATAGTCAATGGATGACAAAGTAAGAGGTAATTAGGGAAATGTAAATTAAAACCATGCTGAGATACCATTCATTGTGAGAAAGGGTAGAATCGCAACTATTTGCAAATAAATGAATTGTAATTCTCATAATTGCAGAAATGAACAATGATATAACCAAGGTGCAATGCAATTTGACAATTTATAAATAGTTATGCATGAAGGTCCTGGTTCCGTTATTCTATTCCATGGTACATGACCAAGAATTGTATAGAAGTGTTCAAACAAATCCTTGAATATGAATATCCTAGCAACATTATTCACTTTTCGAGAGAAGGTGCAATCAACTCAATTATCCATGAACAGATGAATAACTAAAATCAAAAAATTCTTTTCAAGTAATGGGCAATTGTTTAGTTACAAAGAAAAATGTGGGTCCCGTGGTTGCAGTTGAGAACTTCCGGTTCATGAACACAGTCAAAGTTTAGCCTTTGCTGGGTCAGTCTTCCTTTACAGGAGCTTTTCTGTGGAGAGAAATGGACTCTGGACTTAGAGCAGGAATGGCCTGGAAGTTCTTCTTCTTTCCTGGTCAGGGCCTGGATGCTTTGCCCAGAAAAAGAGTTATGGACTTTCACTAGGGCCTGGGTATATCATGGATCAGGAATAAAGAAATATTGTCCAGATCATGGGACAAGAGTGTGGTAAAGGTGGTCATGCTGGGGTTTGCGGGCACTTTCCTTCCTTGATCATGAGTCACTCCCTGGGGTGCTGATGGCATCAATTAATGGCTTTTCATATTTCAAACCCTCCCATGTCAATCTTCCCAGTGTCTCTTTTGTCCCAATGCATTTAAATTAGTCAGTGGGAGCACGATCACGGCCACGGTTCTCCTGTTGTTCATCAATTTGCTTGAGCGGGCCCAGTAACATTGTGAGACTTGTTACTGTTTTTGACATATCCACTATGTCATGGGTAGCTTGCCAGGCTCTGCCGTGCGGGCGAGATACTCTCAGTAGCTTGCCGGGCTCTCTGAGAGGGGCGGAGGAATCGAACTCGGGTCGGCCATGTTGGCTGTGTGCAAAGCAAACACCCTACCCGCTGTGCTATCGCTCCAGCCCACAGACACGAGAAACTACATCCATTTTTATGTACAGCATCTTTATGTAGTTTCAGGAACTCTAGCGATAGGCATCAGCTCTAAAACAGTATGGACTCATATGGAGGTACCTTTCAGAACAATCATGCCAGTGAAAAATGGAAAACAAATCCCACTGGTTATTGCTGAGAGTAAATTATGCTACGTGGCCACTAAGAATGCATAAGGAGATAGAGTGTCCATCTGTGGGGACATTGGCCCACAGAAGAGAACAGCCCCTCCAACCTATGCACTGACCTCCAGAACCCCAGTGGGTTTACATTTATTTATTATCCTTTTTGGCTTTTTGGATCACACCTGGTGATGCTCAAGGGATGCTCGTGGGTCATCTGCACTCAGGAATTACGCCTGGCGGAGCTCAGGGAACAATATGAGATGCCAGGAATCAAACCTGATACTGCTGCATGCAGGACAAACACCCTACCCTCTGTACTATCTCTCTGCACCCCCCCCCCCCATTCATTTAAAAGGAAGGAACTGGGAAGACAAACCACTTGCCAGGAGCAATCACTTCTTGGTGAAAGGACCAGTTCTTATTTTATATTTAATTTATTATTTTAGTAAATATAGGTAATAGTAAATAATATGTATATCAGATTTATAGAAGTGTTTTAAAATTTATTCATTGGTAATAACAATATTCCCCTGACCATAAAGGCCAATTGTTGGAAAAAAACGAGTAAGAAGAGGCTGCTAAAATCTCAGGACCAGGAGGAATAGAGACATCACTGGCACCTGCTCGAATAAATCAACGATCAACGGGATGATAGTGAAACAGTGATATGGTGAAAAACAATAAAAATGTATTTATTTATCTTTGGCCAAGTCTGGCAGTGCTCAGGGCTTAACTCCTGACACAGTGCTTAGGATGCCTGGTGGTACTTGACGGGGCATAAGTGGTGCCCGAAACACGACCTGGTTTGGCCATGTACAAGGTAAACACCTTAATCCTTATACTATCAAGTCCTATACCTGTTGCTGTTGTGATTTTGGATTTTTAGACAAACTTGCCAGTGCTCTGGGATTGCTCCTGGCTCTGTGCTCAAGAATGACTTCTGGTAGTGCTGGGGATCATGCTTGAATTGACTGTGTACAAGGCAAGTGTCTTAACTCTGTGCTATTCCCTCCAGCCCTGTGCATTGCATTTCCCTGAAGAAAACGTCTCTGAGTCATATTAGATGACACCCTGAATGAGACTGACAGACAGAAAGAGCTCAGGCCATCAGTGCCAAGGCATTTGCTAATGTGCTGATGTTAATTCAGACCCTGAGCACAAACCCCACCTGCTGGATCCAGCAGCCTCCTCTCTGACACCAACCTCCTGGGGAACCAGGGCACCAGCATCTAGTAGAGTCCTGCTTGATTTGTGGAGCACAGAAAGTGAGGCAACAAAGGCTTGTTGCCGAAGTGAGAGTCTGGGATAATTTGTCAGCAGCAGTGGACACAAATATTCCAGCAGTCTCCTGGCCCCAGGTCTGGCCTGTCTGCCCCTCTCCCAATGTCCTCTCCTCTCAGACTCCCTGAAGTTACACTGGCCTCCTTGTTTTCCCATGGCCAAATCCATCAGCCTCATGTCTCGGCTCTGTGTGCCTTCTCTAGACCAAATGTCCCAGACCTATGGTGGTCAAGCCCCTCTTGTCATGCTCTTGGAACTGTAAACATCACTTCAGTGCAGCCTTACCTGGCAGCCCAGTGCTCCCTTGTAATGCTCCTTATAGCACACAGTAGATTTTCTTTCATTTTTGGACTTTTGGGTCACACCTAGTGATACTCATGGGTTACTTAAGGATCTTCACTCAGGAATTGCTCCTGGTGGTGCTTGAGTGACCACCTGGGATGCTGGAATCAAACCTGGGTTGGCTGCATGCAAGGCAAATGCCCTACCCGCTATACGATCACTCTGACCCCCTCAATTTTCAATATATGATTTGCTCCTTTTCTTTCCTTTCCTTTTGGGGGGGTTTCAAATTCAGTTGTGCACAGGGCTTACTCTTGGCTCTGTGCTCAAGGATTACTCATGGCAGGACTCAAGGGACTGTGTAGGATGTCAGATCAAACCCAGTTCAGCCTAAAGATAAGTTAAAGATAACATACCTTTGTATGTTAAAGATAATACCTCTATGACCCCCTAATGTACTATCAGGTTCACTTCTAGGGAATGAGCTGGGACTTTTTGTTTTCTTGTTTGTTGTGGGGTAGGGGGTGGTCCACACCATCAGTGCTCAAGACTTAATCCTGGCTATGTGCTAAGGAATTATTCCTAGCAGGGCTCAAAGGACTATTTAGGATCCTAAGGATCAAACCGGTCTGCTGCAAGGCACTATTCAACGTGCACTCTATCTAGCCCCAGAAATTTCTTTCCACTATTTAGTGTCCATGCTGATTTTGACCTCTCAGTATAGATCTCGAGTTCCTGAAGGGCAGGGATTTTGCAGGGTATTTTCAATACTGGCAATTTGAGTGTAGAGAGACTATATCTTATCACCGAAGAGCTCAGATATTAGAGGTGGACATGCACAGAAGGCCATGGTCAGGTTAATGGGCATATTAGTTAGCCTACTATGTCTAGTTTAACATGCTAATTTTAGATGTACGATTCAAGGACCCAACACTCAGAAATTAGCTGTCTCATGGTAATACTCCACATGTGGGGCTGGGTATGTGTGTGATGCATTTCTCAATAAATGTCTGTCATGTTAACTTTTGGGGATCGTCTCTTATTCATAGTGTCCCGCAGTGGAGTCCAGGACACTTCAGTCCCAAATCTACAGTGGAAGGAGAAAAACTGTTATTTTCTCCCCTATATCACCATCCTATTGTGGGTATTGAACATTGAAAACTCCTTGCTGATTAAAATGAATTAATTAGGCATTTTAATTTAGGTAAGTCCAGTGTTTTCTTTGCTACAAATCTACTCAACAAATTACAATTCCTAGAGAGACTTCACAAAGAAAAGATTTGTCTCTCTTCTGACGCAGAGACATGGACATTCTGTTTCCCTGCCTTCTACATATTGCTGTTATATACCAGGTTTGAATTATTATTTGAATGTACACCACTGAAGGGAATTACATGATATGGTATTGAGAGCCACAAGTAGCTACACAATTACATGTTTCAAAAGCCATCTCTTGGGTTGGATTAGTCCAGTGATTCTAAAATGGAATAGACTGTGAAATGCCAAATGGTGGCATCATGGCTTTGGAACTTTGAGTTCGTGTCCCACAGATGTCTCCTGGCCGGCAGCCAGCTCCAGGGCTTGCTCATAGCTCTCCAGGGCCTTCGTGATTTCTCCTCTCTGCTTCTGTGTGAACCCAAGGAGGCTCAAGCCTTCCACGTCCAATTTATTTTTCTGAAGTTTCTTTAAGGCGCATTTCTCCAAAGCACTGATACTTTTCTCTCTTGAAAAAGATGGTTTCTCTATTTTCACCACTTTCAAATAATGCACAATTGCATCTACTTCAGATTTCCTCTGAAATTCCTGAAATTTGCCATAGTGGAGATGTAACTGTTGCAGGTCTTGTTCTGTGAGTGATTTCATGCCTAACACTTTTTGGTAGATGTCCTCAGCTTTGCTGTGCTCACCTACTTCTATGTAAATTTCTGCCAGGGTTAGGTAAGCAATCACAAAAGTGGGCTTGTGTTTCAAAGCACACTCCAAATGATCTATAGCTAATCTAGCCAGTCTTTCAATATTTTCTCTGTTCTGCCCTCTGGGCTGCCAGTGTGTGACCTTTTTATTTTGGCTGATTTGTGCTTTGTAGCAAAGTGCCAGCTGGTGATGCACTAAGGCAGAGGAGGGCGTGTCCTTCAAGGCCTTTTTTAAGAGCTGAAGAGCTTTATCCAGAGAGCCCTTTCTGCGGTGGAACTTGGCTGCGTACCGAAGGATGTAAGTGTGCGAGATCTTGCTGGCCAGCGCTTCTTCAATGTACTTTTCTCCTTCATCTTCTCGTCCTAAGTCCTGAAGACACAGCGCTAGGAGAACTTTCACATATTCATTTTCTGGATTCAATCTGATGGCCTGTTCTAGGGGGTACAGACTATTTATACTTTCTACGCTCTTAATGTTGTTCAGGCGGTAGGTGACAATTGCATACCCAACACTGAATTCAGGGCTTTCAGGGTCCACTTCCAAAGCCTTTTGAAAGCAAACCTTGGCTCGTTCATAGTTATTTTGTCCACATTTCAGCAAGGCCCATCCTTCCTCAGAGTTGAGCTCTGGACACTCCATCCTGTATCTGAAGGGACTTTCCAACTTCTTGCACGTCTTCTCTACCTTGTCCAGGTAAGTCTGGGCTTCTCCCAGCCTGCCCATGTGGTGGTACAGCCAGGCATAGTTGCCCCAGGTGACCAGACCTCTCACATCTGATTGGTCAGCGAATTCTTGCAGCAGGAAATCTTCAGCTTCTTTCAAAGTCTCCAGGGCTTCCTGATTCTGGCCTGCCAGGTGTTTCACGTAGGCCAGCAGGTTGTACATTCTCGCATTGTTCTGGACATGTAGGAACTCAATCTGATCAAAGACCCTGTTTTCTAAATCCGGTATTTCAGTGTGGTCAATTTGCAAGCCCCACGTAAAGTGGCATCTCAGCTGGAGCAGGTGCTCTTTCATGAGATCCTCGTTGGGTTTGTCGCTGTGAAAAGAGACAAGAATTAGAATTTTTAAAGGAGGGCTCAGTCCAATGAAATGGAATCATCACTGTGAAAAGTCCTATATTTCACCTCACTTGTTTTGTGCTCCCTCCCTTTATTATCTGGTGCCTCTTAGGTGCCTCCAGTATTCATATCATTAGGACAGAGAGCACAATGACAAAAAAAATTTTAAAAATTCCTGAGCTAATGCTAATTCATAGAGTCAGGAGGTAGGACAGGCGAGGCTTATTTTATTTTGAAAACTTAGTAATTTAATATGCTGGAGCAATAGCACAGAGGGTAGGGCATTTGCCTTGCATGCAGCTGGCATGGCCGAGCTGGGTTCAATTCCTCCGCCCCTCTCAGAGAGCCTGGCAAGCTACCGAGAGTATCTCACCCACACGGCAAAGCCTGGCAAGCCACCCGTGATGTATTCGATATGCCAAACACAGTAACAACAAAATCTCCTATGGAGACGTTACTGGACCTGCTCGAGCAAATCGATGAACAATGGGAGGACAGTGACAGTGACAGTTATTTAATGAACTATTACTTTTTTTCCACATACACACTCTTACCAGTAACATAGGTATACAAGTTTTTATTTTCCCCACTTCCTTTTCCTCTGTTGTTTCTGTTGTTTCTATGATGACCAGTTCATTTCAGGGTGCTCGATATCATATACTTTTGTTGTGACACCAACGATCACAAACAGCAATACTACTGTTGGGCTGGCACTCAGCATGTGAGCAGTGTCAAGGATCAATCTTGCACCCTCATGCCTTGCTCAGGTGAGAGAGACAAGAGGCTGGGTCCAGGTTGGGGCCACCCCTTCTCCTCTCTTGCTATGAGTTAGCGCCAAGCTCTAAGAGGCTTTCTGCAAGCAGCCCACCTGCACGCCTGCATACATGTAAGTTGTCAATCGCAGCTTTACCTTTCACTGCCATTACCACGCTGTGGCTCCTCGCCAGCTCTTGGGGACTCGTGTGCCCAGCTGTGCTTTGCAGAAACCTCTCTTGCCCAGAGCGGTGTGTGTGTGTGTGTGTGTGTGTGTGTGTGTGTGTGTGTGTGTATCTCATACACGAAGGAGTCTCAAAGCAGTCACTCAGGTATCTGAATATATGTGGTTCTCAGGAGATCGGTGACACCTTATGCAATGCTCTGCTCTCCAGTTCTTCCTTTGTGACTTTATCTTCTTGTTTTTCAATGTCTTTCATTCCTGTTGTGTGTCATGTGTTGATCAAGGCTGCTTGCCTTGAGGTTCATGCCTGGGAATTCGCTTCCCCTTCTTGGGACACCCTTACCCCTATGAAACACGGAGCAGTCTGTCTCACATGTTCAAAATCTGAGTGTTCTCTTGAAGTGGTTATAGTTGCAGGACTTTTTGTCTGAAAACTGTGAACCAATTCATCCACGTGTGGACTTTTTCATGTCTTCTACTTTCCAGGGAAACTCTTAATGGAGGGAACCTAAGATGTGGCATATGGTTAAAGAACCTTCCCTTGAAGGGCAAAATTAAAAACTAATCCTAAATCAATGGTAATTCTTTTATTTTTATAAATGTTTATGGTCCAAATATTTCTGAGGAGCTTATACATATATATAAAGTTTAGTGAGTTAAAATAATATCTTTATGTCTGAATGACTCTCCTTTATATTTTATTTTGTCCTCTGGATGCTATGGATCGCATAATTAAAATTGATCCTACTGTACAATGGATCGGGAGCTTAAGTGCACTTGTCCAGCCTGTGTTCAGAAGTGATCTCCGAGCACAGTTGGATATGACCCAAAAACAAACAAGAAAATTATACAACTTATGATGATTTGCCCAAGTCAGATGCTTTTATTCTATGGAAAATTACATTGGAATTTATAATTTACTTTGGGACCTGCAAATCATTTTTTTAAGTAAGCCTAATCTTGATTTCAATGGAGCTAAGTTTTATTTTGACAAACTGGCAGGCTACCGAATGTAGCCTGCCCACACGGCAGAGTCTGGCAAACTCCCCGTGGCATACACAATATGCCAAATACTAGTAACAATGATGGGTCTCATTCTCCTAAAGAGCCTTGAATATAATCTCACGGCTAGGATGAAGGAGGCGTTACTGGGGCCTGCTCGAGGCAATAGATGATTAACAGGATGATTTGTGATTTGTGAAGTTTTATTTGTAGTTGAGCAATCTTTTGTAACGGGGCTAAATGACAAATATTGTTTCATGGTAATATGTAACTGGAGACTGGAGCGATAGCACAGCATGGGCTGGAGCGATAGCACAACTGTGGGTTGGAGCGATAGCACAGTGGTAGGGCGTTTGCCTTGCGCGCATCCAGCCCTGCCGAGCTGGGTTCAATTCCTCTGCCCCCTCAGAGAGCCTGGCAAGCTACCGAGAGTGTCTTGCCCACATGGCAAAGTCTGGCGAGATGCCTGTGATGTATTCTATATGCCAAACACCGTAACAACAAGTCTCAAAATGAGATGTTACTGGGCCTGCTCAAGCAAATCCATGAACAAGGGGTGGACAGTGCTACAGTGATACAATGTGTAACAATTTAAAGCCTTTTTTGAGGAGGGCGTCACACCTGATGATCCCCTGGGTTACTGCTGGCTCTGCACTCAGGAATTGCTCCTGACCATGCTAGCGGGACTCTATGTGGTGCTGCAGCTCAAACCCAGGTAGGGCGCATTGAAGGCAAATGCCCTACCCACTGTACGATCGCTCTAGTCTTCTATTTGATGTCTTTAATATCTGTGAGTTAAAGTTCCTGGAAATAAAAGTTTTATGAAAAGAGCCCAATCCTGTTTTGTTTCGTTTTGATTTGGGTCATGCCTAGTGGTGCTCAGGGCCTGCTCTTGGCTGTGTGCTTAGTAGACCCTATGTGGTATTGGGAACCAGGTTCTCACCATTATTTGCATGCAAATCAAGTTCTTTACTCCTGTACTACCACTTTGCTCTCAAGAATAAAATCTTAATTGATTAAAATGAAAATAATATGGAGATCTTAAAGGGCTCTTAAGGTATCCACAACTTTAGTTTTCTGTTGTGGAAACTGAAACACACATGTGTTGAGTAATAATCCTAAACTTTTTAGGCTTCATCAGTGAATTGCCCCTTTTACTCCCGCAAGAAATGCTTACAGTGCTCTTATGAGCACCCCTAATCCCCTGAGGTTCTCTTTAACCTTTCCTTTGTGCTTTGCTTCTCATTGTAAGCTACTATTGGGCTTGGTTACTTATGAAATTAAACCTTGTGGTGGCTCTGGATTTAGTATTAGTGGATTACTTGCATTTCTCTTTCCCTTGTTCCCTTTTCATATTTTACTATAGAGTAATGCTCTTTGCTTAAACACAGAAAGAATACTAATGCTATGCTCCTGATATTTGGGAGTTAATTGACTCTGAAATCTATTCACTTCTGGGCATCTGTCATAATTACTTGACTCTGGTTTTAGTCGCCATGGTTCCTAGCACCTCCAAAAGCTGGGTCCTCTTGAGGGACTTCTGGATCATCCCAGAGCAAGCAGCAATGCAACCCTGGCATTGATGGAACAATTCAGAAAGCATAAAATGTGGTATGATACAAGCCATGATGACCTAAGAGACAGGACCCCATGGGGTAAGAAAAGTTAAACGGGAGTTGTGGTAAAAGTCAACCGGTTCTGCCCCTGGAGCCTAGAGAACTGAGTTTTGGAATCTATATCTCTCACAGTGCTTATCCAAGTAACTGAAAATATTAATAAGAAGTAAACTTAATTGTTTAATATGTACTAGTAAGGGAAAGAGAAAAGCAATATAGATGCTTGTCGCCCTGTGCGAATTTCTCAGTATAGTCTCAGAATGTCTCCTTGAGTAAATTCCCACAAAGAATTGCCTCTGATTTACCTCTGTAAATGATTAAAAATACCTACGGGCAGTCCTGTACCTCGAACCCCCTCAGATTCTCAATATAGAGTATTTGTTTGGAGATAATAAACAGGACCTTTTGATTATCTGTGTCCCCTGTCTCTCTGTTCCTCTGCTGGAGTGGCCTCGTAGGTGGCGCTCATCCACCAAATGCGTCATGCACTTGACTCACACACATGGACTAGATATGATGGTGCTTTGTGAGCGTTGTCACATAATGAGACGATAGCACAGCGGTAGGGCGTTTGCCTTGCACGCAGCCAACATGGCCGACCCGAGTTCGATTCCTCCGCCCTTCTCGGAGAACCCGGCAAGCTACCGAGAGTATCTCGCCCGCACGGCAGAGCCTGGCAAGCTCCCCGTGATGCATTCGATATGCCAAACACAGTAACAACAAAGTCTCCAATGGAGACGTTACTGGGCCCGCTCAAGCAAATCGAAGAACAATGGGAGGGCCTTTACCTTTACTTAATATTATGTGAAACTCCTGAATATCGAATATGGTCTCATCAATTCAGGGTATTATTGTAGGTATTTATATGTCAAAAAGTTGAGAACATCACTTTACCAAATGTGTTATAATAAAATTCTTGTGAATATCCTATGCCTTTTGCCATTTAAAGAACTGCTCTACTGTGTTTTGTCCAGTGAAGAGTACAGGAAAGGTTTGAAAAAGAAGAGTTGCCATGGAACTTGAAGATAATAAATTGGATTCGCCAAAACAGCAGGAGACTAAAATTTTCTACCTGAAATTAAATTAAATATTGAGGATGAAAAGTCATTAAATTCTTTTTGTTTATTTTGTGAAACTGCTCATCTTACTTTTGTCAGATTTAAAAAGTGTTTCCTCTATGAGCTGTGACGTTCATACAGCAACCTGGTAGACTACATCTAATTGTAAGTCAAATTTAAATGTTTGTTTCTTTCTCTCCCTGGCAACGTTACTTCGCAGTAATCTATTTGTCTTCATAAACCTAGAAAGAAAGCTTTTCTGTCTATAATAGTTAATTTGAAAACAGTTTGTATCACTAAGGCTCTGACTTGGAATATCAGAAACATTCTGCTTTAGGAACCAAAATTAACCCCACAGAGTCAATGTCTTGCTTGGACTTTTAGAACTTAAATGTTTTCATGAAAATGCATACGTGTGTGTAAGTTATGTGATAGATATGTTAATTGCCCAAAGAGGAAGGAGTGTATTTAGAATGTATGCATGGGGGGCTGGCTGGAGCGATAGCATGGTAGGTAGGGCATTTGCCTTGCACACGGCCCACACGGCCAACCCAAGTTTGATTCCTCTGCCCCTCTCGGAGATCCCAGCAAGCTACCGAGAGTATCGCACCTGCACGGCAAAACCTGGCAAGCTACCCGTGATGTATTCAATCTGCCAAACACAGTAACAACAAGTCTCAAAATGGAGACATTACTGGGCCCGTTCGAGCAAATCGATGAACAATGGGAGGACAGACAGTGCTATATGGGGGGCTGGGGATATAGGACAGCTGGGAGGCATTTGCTTTGCACCTAGCCTAGATGAGTTCGATGCATGGCATCCCAAATAGTTTCCTGACCACCATCAGGAGTGGTCCCTAGGTGCAGAGCCAGGAGTGACCCTTGGGCATTACAAGGTGTGGCCCCAAAACAAACAAACAAAAAACCCTAAAAGTCATAGAATGCATGCATTTAAAATTACCAGAGGCATACTTTTTTTTTTATTAGTGAAACACCATGAGGTACATTTGTACACTTACAAATTTTTGTGCTTGAGTTTCAGTTATACAATGATCGAGTGCCCATCCCTCTCATTCTCCACCACCACTGATCCCAGTATCCCTCCCACCCGCCATGCCCCCATCCCACCCTGCCTCTGTGGCAGGACATTCACTTTTGTTCTCTCTCTCCTTTTGGGTGCTGTGGTTTGCAAAAGAGGCATTGAGTGGCAATCATATTTGGTCTATAGTCTACTTTCACCATGCATCTCCCATCCTGGGAGGGTCCTCCCAACACCCTTTATTTGGTGCTCCCTTCTCTCTCTGAGCTGCCTTTTGCCCTAGCATGTGCGGCTGGCCTCCAAGCCATGGAGTAAACCTCCTGGTACTTATCTTGGCTATTCTTGGGTGTTAGTCTCCTATTTTGTTACTTTATGTTCCCCAGATGAATGCAGTCTTTTTATGTCTGTTCCTCTGTTTCTGACTCATTTCACTTAGGATGATACTTTCCATGTAGTTCTAACAGCTACATAGTACTCCATTGTGTAGATGTACCAAAGATTCTTTAACCAGTCATCTGCTAAATGTTAATCGGGCACTCAGGTTTTTTCCAGGTTCTAGCAATTGTAAAGAGTGCTGCAATGAACAAACAAGTGCAGATGTCACTTTGACTATGCTTTTTCAGAGGCATACTTTAAATATCTTACAGTTTTGTGTCAAATATCATAATAAAGATGCAATTAAATTAGTTAGGTAACATAATTATATTAAGATAAAAGTATTGTACGTTACCTTACTAAATTGTCACTTTTTATTTTATTTCCTTACATGCATGAAATACTCTATTTTCCCCTATCAAATCTTAATTTTTCATTACAAATTATCTTCATGTGTATTAAAGCATGTCTCTATAAAAGAAAACTGTCTATAAAACATATCAAATACAAATGTCACACCTAAGAATTATTTTATATAAAATAATTTATATAAGACATCTAGCCTACTGTTTTCTTTATATACGATATCTAGGCTATTGCTTACATTTCTTTAAATTTTTTTTGATTGAAGCCCCTTTACAGTTTTATTACAGATGCCAAGGAATAGTAAAAGGACTGGAGGATGCGTCAGTTTTCAAGTTAATTCCCCAGCATGTCAGGCCCCTCCCCCAGCACCAAGCACCTGCATGTGTGACCCTAATGCCATAAACACCTGGACAGGTACCACACCTCTAGTCAAAGAGATGACAAGAGTTGAATCCTGGGGTTTTCAAAAGACCCTCTGAAAGAGGAGAGTGACATTTCCAGGGAAGTCTCAGGGTGCCACAGATGCTCCCTGGTTATGCCCCAGTTGCTTTTGTGAAGGGCCTGGCTGATCTCAGGCTCGGTTCATGGGTCAGAGTAGACAGCATCTTAAGAATTCATTGCTTCAGAAATGAGCCGGCCCAGAAACTCTCCAGATCAGTGCTTATTACGCTATGCTAATCTGCATAGCTCACTAAGTACTGGGATGTCTAGTCAAATCGAGACTTGAAGATAATCTGTTATATACAGATGTCGGTTTACAAAGGTGCTCACCTGAAGATTACAAAATATTGTAAGGCAATATTGTTTCAATAAAGCTTTAAGAAGGAAAATTACAAATTTGGGATACTGCCTTTCATTCGGGGGAAAGGGTAGGGGACAATGATCACAACCAGCTGAGCTCAGAACTTACCTCCTGCCTGTGTTCAGGGATCACTTTTGGCAGTGCTTGGGTCTTTATGCAGTGCTGGGGCTCAAACAGAATTGGCAGTGTGCAAAGTAAGGGCCTTAAGTCCTGTCCTAGCCCTCTGGTCCTAAGAATGGACTATCTCTCTGGCCTGAGTGAGGTACTGCCTAACAGTCACTCAGGGATACTGAAACAAACCACACTACGAAGAGCAAGGCTCCAAGGAGACTTCGTTTGGGGTCAGTGATTTCCAAATAACCACTTTCTTGTCCCCAAATTATCCTGCAAATAAGCAAACCTCACAACACGCTTCCAATGTATCCATTTGTCCACACAGTTCAAATGGAACTCATTTTACACACAACCACGCAGGAAGACTTTGGTGTGTCTAGGAAGTACATGTGATTCTTGTGAAATATTTTTAATTCTAAAGTTTATCTCTGATCGGTTCAGTTCTCACCAGGAATCAGCATCTAGTTGTTTGCACAGAACACACAGGTTGGGTGTGCTACAGGGCATTTGGCACACACTCTTTTCCCTATATACACTTCACAGGAAAATGTAGCTGGTCAATATGAGGTCCCAAATAAATGTACCTTCCGAATCTTAAAGCAAATTTCAAGGAAGAAGATATCTCATCAATAGAAAGCTTGCCACTAGTTGGGGTGGGGGTGGAGGAGGAAGGTCAGGGAAGGGAACACTATGACATTATTAGCAAAGGTAAGGGGGTCGCTCTGGAGACCAGAATGCTGAAAGAAGGTTTAAAGTGCTTACCATAGAGGCAGGCTGGGGAGCGGGAGGGTAATTTGGGATGCAGGGGAGGGAAGTGGACACTGGTGAAAGCTGTGATATTGGAACTTTGTACACCTGAAATGCAATCAGGAATAACTTGGTACCTTTGTCATTCACAGTAATTCAATAAAACTCATGGTAAATTAAATTTAAAAGCGTACAGTTCTGAAAATGACCACACCATCACAATAAGAGACACAGATCTGATTTAAACTTTTCAAATATGAGAAACAAAACAAGCAGATTTTTGGTTTCTTTCTTCCAAACCCCAGATCACATTGGTCAGATTTTGTCTGCAAGAACTTTAGCATGCCCTCCCTCTGGGCTCTCAACAAGTTCCTCTCCTCCCCAGATGCCACCATCCTGTTCTGCTGGAAATTCTGCCCTCAGTGGCTGTCTCATTCATTGCGTTCTAAATGAGAAAGACCCACAGAAATTCATGTACATGAGTTGGGGGCAGCGAGGTGGCTTGGTGGCTAATAGTTTCTACCTTGCAAGTGTAAAGCCACAAGTTTGATCCCTGGTGCAACGTCCATGTGCCAGGCAAGGTTCTGGCAGCTACAGCTACAAGATCCTCATGCTGCGATTATTTATAACTGCATGCAGCCTAGTGTGTGTGTGTATGTGTGTGTGTGCGTGCGTGCGTGCGTGTGTGTGTGTGTGTGTGTGTGTGTGTGTGTGTATCTTAACTGAAGGGTGAGACTCTGGGGAAGCACCACAAGTAAAACGACATTCTAGCACCAGTCAGGCCTGAAAGCTTCCAGACAGTACATGTGTGAACACCACAACTAAAAAGAACCACAAAACCACAAAACTTCAGTGAGAAAGACAACCATATGTGCTGACACCACAATCAAATGTGTGAGACCTTTGGTAATACAAATGAGTCAACAGAGGGAAGGGAAGGGAAGGTGGAAACAAAGGCATGGATTAGTAAAACAGTCTGATCTGATTAGATAAATATAGGTTCATCTATAAGCATACTCAGATTCAGCCTTATTCAGGAAATTGTATGCACAAATAAGATTCAATTGTTTTATCAGAAAATCAGACTCTTTCACAGAGAAGCAGGAAACCTTTACCTCATGGTGACTATTTCTCTGCAGCTTTGAAGGCTGATGTTCAGGCTGATTTCACCTTTTGCTTGTGGATCACGAGAAAATACTCAAGAGTGTGCATTTGGATGCTGGCTGTTCTGCCTGTGCTTTTATGAACGGGAGAAGGAAACCAAAACTTCCTATGCAATAGCAAGTTTCCAAATGAAGGGAAATAGAAACCGAAAGTGAGAGAGGCTCCCCTCCCCTCCACTGGCAGTCAGGTTCCACACAGACTCTGAGCACTGTGCTTGAGAAATGGTTCATAGACACAGATCCCAGACCCTGCTTCCAGAGATTCTGGTGCAGCTAATTTGGCAGTGGGCTCAAGAATCAGCATTTGTACAGCACTCTCGAATTTCTATTGTAGGTGTCCCTTTATGTATTTTGAAAGGCACTGTTCTAGAGCTTCCTTGTTCAGCATTTTGCCCAGGGTCCTGAAAAGGTCAGTGTCAAAAATGTCTAAAACTGCAAGTTCAATCCCTGGCGCCACTCTCAGTAACTGTGACTCTGGTGGCACTGCCTTTTGAGGTCCTTGGCACTGCCCAACATTGAGACCCTGTTAGTATCACAACCAAGTGTGTGTGACCCCTGTTGTCACAACCATAGTGAAAAAAGAGGGGAAAAATATAAATGAATTTTATTTTAAATAAAAGCTCTTTTCTCATTCCCCTAGAAGCACTCTAAATATTAAGCTCTTCTAAATATTAAGCCACACAAGCTGGGACAGAGGAAAATAACCTCAGGACCCCGAGATTCTGATTCTCTTGTTGATCTACTTTGGGCTTTTTGAATCACATGACTGAGACTCATTTTCTTACCTTGAAAATGGCCTGGATTCACTTTTCTTTTCCTTTCCTTCTAATGTATGGGGAGCCTCCCTCTGGGTAGGTCCAAATCTTATTTCGTCTAAGATGTGACTTGGGTTACTCTAAGGAGTGGGCAGCCATCAGTGTAGTCCTCACTCCACTTGGGACCTTGAGAAGCTCGTCCTGCCAAGCCTTGTTCTTCCTCTCTGAAGTGAGGTGTTAAAAGCATGAGAGAAGTTTGTCTTTGGGGCGTTTGTGCACAGGCTGAAGACTGTCCCTTAGTTCAGTCCCTTAGCAGTCAGAGCTGCCTCTGTCCCTAGAGCCTCTTGGAAACAATGGCTGAGCTTGAGGGGACTTGAGTTTGAGTAAGTAAGTGCTGAAAGCCTTCCTTGGTCTTCCTCTAGACAGTGATGCTGGAGATGTGCAAGCACAGGTTGGGGTGTCTCCACAGCCATTGTCTGGAGGTAAACTGAGGAGGGTGAGAACCTTAGAGGACCCTGCTCTGACACATGCTCTTTCAGAGGCCTCTTGCCAAGTAGTTTGCCCTTCTGATCTTCATTTTGTTTAGCTAGATAACAAAGCTGGTGGTGATAGCTTCTCTTTTCTGGGGCTATTGTGCTGAGCAGGGGAGCCACAGGCTGAGCACTGAGGCCTTATTACCATAATAATAAAGAAGGTAAACTAAGGTGTCTCCATAATAAAACCTGTTAAAAAGACTGACCACCAAGACCTGGACTGAGCCTGGCTTAACTTTCTGAAGTCAAATATATAAGATTAACACTACTCCTCTGTTCTGTAGGAACAGGTTGCCTCTCAAGTATACAACCCCTCCCAAGTATACACAATTAACACTACTCTTGTCTGTTCTGTAGGAAAAGGTAACCTGAGACACTTGGCAGTGAATTCCTCTCAGGATCCTTCTCTCTCAAATAACCCCTGCAGAGTGTTTGTTCAGCCTGAGGTCCTCCTTTCCTCACTTGCTAAATGGTCACTAAAATTCCCTCTTCCATAGGCAATTATTCTGCAATCCCTTTCCATGGGAAAGTTATGGGAAACCCATATATATGTATATATTGTATAGGTGGGTGTGTATATGTGTGTTGTGTGTGTGTGTATATATATATATATATATATATATATATATATATATATATATCACTGTAGCAGTGTCCTCCAGTTTTTCATTGATTTGCTCAAGTGCGCCCAGTAAGGTCTCCATCTTAGGACTTGTTGCTACTGCGTTTGGCATATTTACTACGTCACAGATAGCTTGCCAGGCTTTGCTGTGTAGGCGAGATACTCTCAGTAGCTTTCAGGGCTCTCTGAGAGTGGCGGAGGAATCCAGCCCCCTCTGCGAATTTTTAAAATTGGAATTCACAAAGGTCATGCTTTATACACATTTTTGAGTTGGTAAATTATGACAAATACAGGGGCTGGAGCAATAGCACAGCAGGTAGTTCATTTGCCATGCACGCAGCGGACCCAGGTTTGGTTCCCAGCATCCCATATGGTTCTCTGAGCACCGCCAGGGGTAATTCCTGAGTGCAGAGCCAGGAGTAACACCTGTGCATCGCCAGGTGTGACCCCAAAATAAAAAAAATTATGACGAATACATTCCTGTATTCCTTTTGTCTCCATATAGTTGTCTTTTCTTTTTGTGGAGATGCTTTTATTTTCTAGTTGATGGGAAATTGAAGAAGTTACTGAGTACCATACCAAGATTTCTCTGGAACTCAATCATTTACAATCTGGAAATTTACATTTACAAACACGGCCTTGAGAGCTCTCTTGATAGTCAAAATGAGAAATGGAAAATAAATTATCTAGTGTCTGCCCCTGGCAGGTACTTGAATGGTGCTGGGAAATTTTGAACAAAACATAATGCCAAAAATTAGAGAGAGAGTATTGGGGAAATTGTCTGCCATGGAGGCAGGGTGAGGACTGGGATCTGGGTAGTGGAATATGTGCACTGGTGGAGGGATAGGTGTTCCATCATTTTATGGCTGAATCTCAGACAGGAAAGCTTTGTAATTCTATCTCATGGTGATACAATTAAAAAAAAGTAATGTGGAGTTCATGCCCAATTCAATCAGCTTACTCAATGGCTGAACAAATAGCAGTACCTCTACATTGTTAAGGAAAAGAAGAAGATACTGAGTCCTGAGTATGCTGAGGCAATTTCTCTGAATAGTCCCAATGACCCATCAATAGTATTTATGCAAATGGGAATTTTACTTCTAGCATCAGGGCCTACACAAATCCTGACTGTGGCATTCGTTCACCCTCACCTGGGTTCAGTGCAGGTGGTCATGTGACGTGTGATGCTGGGGATTTTAGACAGGAGAGCTGCCAGGACTACACTCAGTTCACGTGGCAGTACTGAGATCCAACTCATAGCCTCACTCTTGCTTTATTCACTGAACTATCTCCTGGCTATTTGCAGAGTACAGATTCTAGACCTCCTGTGGTTCAACTTAAATAGTAATGGGTTTTGGCTGATTTTTTTAAAAGTTCCTGTCAAAAGATTTGTTTTTAATTTTAGGCACCGTGATTTTCTTTTTTTTTCATAGATCAACATTTTTTATTTATTTTTTAAAATTTTTTTAAATTTAAACACCATGAAGTACAGTTGTAGATTTACAAACTTTCATGCTTTGGTTTCAGTTGTACAATGATCGAGTACTCATCTCTCCGCCACTGCCCATTCTCCACCACCAATGATCCCGTAGCCCTTTCACCTTCCCCCAACCCCCACCACACACCGCCTCTGTTGCAGGGCATTCCCTTTTGCTCATTCTTTCCTCCAAAGTCTTGTAGTTTGCAATAGAGGTATTGATTGTCCATTGTGTTCAGTCTATATTCTAGTTTCAGCACGCATCTCGCAACCCGAGTCAGTTCTCAAACATCCTTCAACTGGTGTTCCATTCTCTATCTGAGCTGCTTTTTCCCCCAGCACATGGTGCTGGCTTCCAAGCCCTGGAGCAGACCGCCTGGTACTTATCTCAACTATTCTTGATTGTTCGATTTCTGTTCTGTTACTTTATATTCCCCAGATGAGTGCAGTTTTTCTCTATCTGTCCCTCTTTTTCTGGCTCATTTCACTTAGCATGATACTTTCCATGTAGTACCAATTGTATGTAAAATTCATGACTTCATCTTTTCTAACAGCTGCATATTATTCCATTGTGCAGATGTACCAAAGTTTCTTTAACCAGTCATCTGTTCTCGGGCACCTAGGTTTTTTCCAAATTTTGGCTATTGTGAACAGTGCAGCAATGAACATAGAAGTGCAGATGTCATTTCAACTGTACTTTTTTGCCTCTCCAAGATATATTCCCAGGATTGGTATTGCTGGGTCAAATGGGAGCTCAATTTCTAATTTTTTGAGAATTGTCCATACTGTTTTCCAAAATGGCTGAACCAGTCGGCATTCCCACCAGCAGTCAAGGAGGGTCCCTTTCTAGCCACATCTGCGCCAGCACTGGTTGCTTTTGTTCTTTTGGATGTGGGACAATCTCTGTGTTGTGAGATGATATCTTATTGTTGTTTTGATCTGCATCTCTCTGATGATTAGTGATGTGGAGCATTTTCTCATGTGCCGTTTTGCCATTTGGATTTCTTCTTTGAGAAAGTTTCTGTTCATTTCATCGCCCCATTTTTGACGGCGTTGGATGTTTTCTTCTTGTGGAGTTCAACCATTGCTTTGTATATCCTTCATATCAAACACTTTTCAGATGGCTATTGGGCAAATATCTTTTCCCATTCTGTATTTTGTTTCTTTAGAGGTGCAGAAGCTTCTTAGTTTAATATGGTCCCATTTGTCTATCTCTGTTTTCATTTGATTGGCCTTTGGCGTGATGTCTTTGAAGATACCATTGGCTTTGATTTCATGGAGGATTTTGCCAACTTTGTCTTCAATGTACCTTATGAATTCTGGTCTGATGTTGAGGTATTTAATCCATTTTGATCTTACTTTTGAACATAGTGTTAGGCAGAGATATGAGCCCAGTTTTTTTGCATGTAGCCGTCCAGTTTTGGCAGCACAATTTGTTAAAGAGGCTTTCCTTGCTCCACTTCACATTTCTTGCTCCCTTATCAAAGATTAGCTGATCATAGATTTGGAGGGAGGTTTCAGTTTATTGAACCCTGTTCCATTGGTCTGTGGCTCTGCCTTTGTTCCAGTACCATGATGTTTGAATTATTCCTGCTTTGTAGTAGAATTTGACGTTGGGGAGTTTGGTTCTTACCATTTTCTTTTCCCCAAGAGTTGCTTTAGCTATTCATGGGTGCTTATT